AAAAAAAAAAAAAAAAAAAAAAAAAAAGGTTAAAGCCAATAACCCACCCACCTCTCAACACTGCCATGGCCTAACCCCTTGTGAGATCTTGGCTTATGCCTGTCATAGCATGCCCAGCTACAGGAAGAGGGCTGGACACATCATGGTTCATATCCCCCCCAGCTCCCCACATTTTGGCAATACAGAAATTGATGATTTGGGCAGAGGAAGGCTGAGCCATTTAAAACTTAGGTTTTCAGGAGGTGGGCAATGACCCATGCAAGTGAACTGCGATGTCATAATCCAGACTTACAACACTGCAATTACTGAACAGGATGCAAGCCATAATTAAAAGTGCAGCACTGGAAGAGAGGGAAGTGTTCATCCTCTTCTGTTTGAACGAAACACTGGCAGAGCCAATCACGACTCCCTCAACCTCACAATGGCTCTGGGACCTTGGAGTGAACAGAAATCCCTGTATTGCCATCTGTTCCCTCCAGGCAGGGGGGACAAAAGGATGAAGATGGCAAACACTTCCACTTCTCAACTTCACTGCTTCATCCTGGGTAGCCCAAGGGAAAGGTGTTACATTGACAGCTGGCTCAGTTTATGTTGGGTGATGGAAAGGAAAGAAATAAACGGCAGCTGACAATGATCAGTGTGTGCATCTCCATCGCTCCCCCTCCCATCGCCATGGAAGTTCTTTTCCAGAAGTGGCTGTATTTGTTTCTTCTATGAAAAATGGATGTGGATGTGTTAACTGTCTGACACATGCTTGTTCATTTCAGGTATGCACAATAATGCCTCACAAAATAAAATATCAGATATTCTGAGCCTGAGTATCCTTATATTTGTCTTCCTCTCCATAGGGATTTCTTCTTTAGACAGGTCTGGAGCAAAGACTGGACTTTCCATTTAGCAAGGTGTGTAAAGATACAACAGCTTTGCCTGGCTTCCAAACTCAGTACATTTAAAAAAAAAACCTCAATTCTTTATAGCCTTGTTAAACATTGGCACCTTGCTAGCAAGGCTCTAAAGCATACTTATAAGAAAGAGGCATGTTTCATCTCCATGCCTCCCAAGTTTTTCAGATACAGGTGCCTTGTCATGACATGTATAGACCAATTCTCATGGTATAGTGGTTTGAATGCTGGCCAACACCCAGGGAGACCTAAGTTCAAATCTTCTCCAACTCTGAAGCTTACTTGGTGACCCTGAACCAGTTCGGTTCTCTGAGACTAACCTAAGTCAAAGGCTGTTGACTGAGAAGAGCCATGTATATTGCTCTAAATTCCTTGGGGAAAGGTAGAGTCAAAATGTAATTAAATCCTTACAATAGAGCAGGGGTGGCAACCTAAGGCCCGGGGGCCGGATGCGGCCCCCTGAGGCATTTGGACCGGCCCCAGGCCAGTCCTGCCGCTGCCACCGCCGCCCCCCGCCATGATGATATTGATTATTGTTGTTATTACTTGTTCTTGGGGTAGGGTTTTTGCCATGGCTTTTCTGGGGCTGAGAGAGTGTGCATGCATATTTTTTTAATTTTTTAATTTTTTTTAAAAAAAATAATTTTAATTTTAATTTTTATTTATTTATTTATTTATTTTTGGTGCTTCGGCCCCCCCAATTGTCTCAGGGACAGCAACCTGGCCCCTGGCTCAAAAAGGTTGCCTACCCCTGCAATACAGCAAATCAAGCAACAGTGTTAAAAAGCAAACGTAATAACTTGGGGTCTTTGCAGACTGCCAGAAATAGTGCAAATTGAGTCCACTTTAAGGGTTAGGGTTAATGCTAAGGAGTCATGGGAATTGTGTTTTTTTCTGAGACATTGAGCCTTCTCTGTCAGAGAGCTCTGTAAAATACAGTTCCCATGATTCCCTAACCCTAACTCTTAAGGTGGACTCAATTTGCACTATTTTTGGCAGTCTGCAAAGGCCTTTGGTAGCTGTAGCATATACTCAGTGGAATAAATGAAGGAATATATTGGGACAAAAATGTTTGGCAACAGCTACACTGTTTAAACCTATGCAGATCTACTTAGAAATAAGTTCTAGTTAGTTTAACTGGGCAAATTGAGTCCACTTTAACTACACTGGCTCAGTGCTAGGGAATCATGGGAACTGTATTTTTTTCTGAGACACAGCCTTCTCTGTCAGAGAGCTCTGGTACCACAATAAACTACAGTTCCCATGATTCCTTAGCACTGAGTCAGGGCAGTTAAATTTGCACTATTTCTGGCAGTCTGCAAAGGCCCTTAGTCTCTAGTTAAGTGTGCAGAGAATCGCAACTATAATCCCCCTAACTGGGTTTTCTCCTCCTATTTATTTTTACCCTGATTTTTTGGAGGAGAGGATGGGTTTGGAAGGCAGCCTTATCACTTGAAAACAATGACTGTGCCACTCCTCTACTGAATGCCAGAAAGTTTCTATTTTATTTCATTAGCTAACCCATTCACAAATAACGATTTTATTTGCCAAAAGACTTTTTTAAAACCTATTTTATTTACACTTTCCAATTGAAAACCAGTTTGGTCATTCTGAGATTGTCTCATTTTAATTTAATGCGTAAATCAAAGGATTTGATCCCTTGTCTCGAGAGTCCTAGTCCAACACCCAAACCACTATGCCACACTGGCTCTCAAGGTATTAAAAGATCTCCAATCTGTGTAATGTTTCTTCAGTGTTGAAGACAATCATTCAAAAACAGAATGGGCACCGTAACTTCCAAATTAACTGACTAGTCACCACAACAGAAAGTCAACAGCAGAATTGTGATAGACAATACCACCTTTGCCTATTATGTTCCACAGGGGCAGAAAACCCCAGCATGAAATTATGGCTAATTACAACAGTGGCTTCCTGGTGCTTTCAAAAAGAGGGCAGTGCAGAGGCCTTGGGGGTGTTGCAGACTGGCCTAAAGGGCGGGCCTGGGGGTGGAGAGGGGGGGACAGCTGTACGGTGGCCACCCCAACCCCAGCCCAACACCGTCCTGATGCTGCACGCCCGCATGCACGGCACGTGGCATCAGGACGCCCTCCCAGTGCAGCATGTAGACACTGCACCAAAAGGGCGCAGAAGAGCCATGACGCTGGCACTTAGGGCAGCCTTTTGCTGCCCCTAAAAGGAGATCAGGGCCACTGTGTACAACTGCCATGGCCCCGATCCACAGCTAGCAGGGGCAGCCCAGAGCCACTCGTCTGCATAGCCCCTTGGAAGTCATCTGAGGATGACATCAGGCATGGGCCTGATAACATGATCCACTGGATCTCTTCCTACAGTATGAAACAAGAATAAAAGCTAATTATTCTACATGCATGAATGTCATCCTTATTTGTACACCAACTCTTGTTTGTTCTTGTGTGTCTTCAAACAGTTCTGACTTATAATAGCAACCCTAAGGAGAAGCTATCACAAGTTTTTCTTGGCAGAATTTACTGTGAGATTATTTGCTCTTGCTTTTCTCTTTGCCCTTGCCTTCCTTTGAAGATGAGGAAGTATGATTTGCCTAAGGTGAGTCACTTAGTGGGTGTCCATGGCTAAATAGGGATTTGAACCCTGGTCTCCTGGTGTCCTAGAGTCCAATTCTCAAACCACTACACCAGGGGCAGGCAACCTTTCCCCTTTAAGGGCCAAGGGACTTCAGCTCCCAGAATCCCAGGAGCTATTGGCCAACATGGGACTATTGGCCAACATAGCTGAGGCTTCTGGGAGCTGAAGTCCCTTGGCTCTTAAAGGGAAAAGGTTGCCTACCCTTGCACTACACCATGCTGGCTTTCTACCTGTACTCTACGAGCAAGGAATAGTTGCCAACTCAGTGAAAAGCATGATTAAGCAAATATTAAATTACATATTTCAACACAATAGGAACAACATTTAATACATTTCATACATACTCCTCTTAATGAGTTTCCACCAGAAATCCTTAACAGGGAGCAAAATTAACCTTGGCCTTTCTTGATGCAAAATCACTCCTTTATAGTCAATTCTAAGCCTCAAGGAAAGGACAACATTCAACAAAGATCACTCACCCTTACAGAGGTAAAGCCTCATTAATTTTTTTATGAGAAACTAACTTTGCATATGACACTGTGTGCACTTTTTAGCTGAACATCTGCTTTGCAGGTAGTTCTACTAGCAATATCATCAATAATGCAAGACTTGTTATCAAGGGCAAATGACACATAGGGTGCAGTCCCTGAATCCATATCTATTTGAAAGCCTGACATACATTTCATGTTGCCAGTGACACCGCTGCAGTTACATTAACAGTTTACATGCTATATGTTTAGGCTGAAAGAATTTGCTGAGTTCTGCAAAAACTGTAAGGAAAAAAACCACTGGTAGAAGCATCATCTTCCCCCACTTAAGAACTATAGTGTTTCAAACTGTTTCAAAGATTCTGGAGCTATGGAAAGGTTTATATATTGTGCTTGACTTCTGCAGTCATCTAAATGCAATGGACATGAGAGTTTGATGGAGAACATAATTCAGTTCAAATACAAGCTCTAACAGTGAATTCTGCAAACATGACTGCAAATGGATAGGTCACAAATAAATGCTTATGCAAACTGCTCACACAAATGGAAGAACAAAATACTATGCCATCACGGTTCATGGAAGAAAATTCACTATTACACAGAAATATCCTTTTCTGACATTAAGCTACTCAGTTACTTACAACTGTAGTTATACGTTCAAATGTTACTGTTTGAACATGTAGTCCAAACGTTACTGAAAAGAATGAAGTAACAATGCTCATTAATTGGTCCTCTTGCTAGCAGCGAGGAAATATTTAGTTTAGTATTAACAACTCAGAAGATCTCCAGCTCAGCTACACAAAGATCTGTCTCAGATCTATCTCAGGGATGCCTTAAGTGGAGAGTTGGGAATATGGAGAAGCTGAGGGGTGGAATGAGGCCTGCCATCCTGCAAATGAAAGGGCTCCTTCTATTTGTGCAAGGGCCCAACATATAGGGCCACTTCCAGTGGAGGAAAAGAAGAAGTGTTTTTGTACTTCCTACTTCTCCCTGATGTCCGTTCCATGAAGGATCCCCAGTCTACCAGAACAGCCTCGGGTAAATAGGGGGCTGCAGGTGCTAATTCACCTTCTTGACCCTTTTTTCTGGCAGGAAGGTCATATCAACAGTCTTATCCACTTATCAAAGTCAGTGTCTTGGTACTCTAGATCTTTTGACAAATTGCACAGTTCTGAAAGCTCTGGAGAGGTTTTTGTTTTGTTTTTAGTATTCTGAAACTGCACCTATGCCCTCTGTAGCTCCAAGGCAGCATTTAAAACTAGCCAGCATAGACTGCTTAATCAATTCTAAAAAGCCACATTTACCTTTTTTGAACTTATGTATTGGAAGTTTCTTAAGCTGATCTTTTTGAAGCCGATTCCTTCTTGCTCTGTGCCTGTCCTGGACAAATTTTGTAATCTTGAAAGATAGAGACAGAAATACAATATAGAAAGTTGAGACCAAAAGAAGAAGAAAAAAGGTATAGAACAACTCAATTTCTTTTGTTCTCAGAACAGCTGTTCTAAAGAGGGAAAGCATATTCATATGGAGTCATAGAGAAATCATGCCTAACAGTGGGAATAAGAAAGCTGCACATCCATATACAAAATACCAACAGCCCCAAAAGCTTACAATGCTCCCTCTTCTCTGAAGTTATGAGCAAAATTGGTGCTGCTCTAAGGTGGCTAGTAGACAAGATATGCATTTTAACACCCTTATATCAATACAAGAAGTATGACTTGTGAATTTAGAAGACAACTGGCAAATTGGACTAATTTAACACTTCACAAAATTTCACAGAAAATTTGTAACATGAAGTCCATGTCAGGCAGCAAAACCACAGCCAGACCTGGTAGTCTTCTACACAGGGAATTTTATTAATCTATCCCCCTCCCTGTTGTCCATCTTTTGGTAGGCAAAGAACTTTTTACAGGTAGCTCTTAAGTAACTAACTGGGTTTAGATGGAGGTGCTACACTTTCAGCATTTTTATTAATCTGCTGTTTAATTATTTCAATGGATGTTTTCATCTACTGTATGTCTTAATATGTATTACTGTGTTTTACTGAGATGTTTTAATATGTTGCAGTCCTTCTTTAAGTTATTTGGGATAAAGGCAGAGTACTAAACAAAAACTAACCAACCAACAGTGCAGAATTCAGCAACTGCTTCAGATATAATTCCTACTCAGGCATTTGGTAAGCCTAATTAGGAACAGTAAACACACAAGGAGTGGGGGTGAGTTACCCCCAGTGCTCCATATGTTTCCATTGTCCTTTATACACAGCGGGTAACACTTAGAGCCTCCTCTTTCTATGGAGGCTGCCCAGAGGATCCAGAACTTTTACCTTCTAGATCACATGATGTGGAGAGCACCCATAGATACAGCAGGCACTTCTCTTAGAGCAGACTGTCAATCTTTATGTGGAGAGTGGTGATGGAGGAAGGCAGGACTAAGGCAGTCCCTCTCTTTGTGTGCTCCTTCACTCAGAAACTGAACACACCAACAGGGTTTCACAGTCTCGGCTTTCAGCTGAAAGAGCTGTTTAAAATTGTACAACTAATGTCTGCAAAAGCTTCTCAATGCTGAGGAAGATGGACTGCAAAGGATTTTTGTGCTGTACATGGCTATATGTCTCCCCATTGCTTAGTTTATCCTAAGTATTTCTTTGCACTGCTTATTACCTAAGCTTTCCTGTCTTTTTCAAAATGTAGGCACAGAATGTTCCCACTTTAACACTATAGATAACTTTTTATAGGTTGATGCACTGGAGGCAAAAGTACTGTTTTTAATGGTCTAAGATAGAATTTGATGTTGTTATTGTGTGCCTTCAAGTCATCTCATACTTACAGCAATCCTAAGGTAAATCTATCGCAATGTTTTTTTGGCAAGATTTATTCAGAGGGGGTTTGCCCTTGCCTTTCTCTGAGGCTGAGAGAGTGTGACTTGTCCAGGTTCACCCACTAGGTTTCCATGGCTAAATGAGGATTTGATCCCTTGTCTCGAGAGTCCTAGTCCAACACCCAAACCACTATGCCACACTGGCTCTCAAGGTATTAAAAGATCTCCAATCTGTGTAATGTTTTTTCAGATTAAAGGCCAATACCTAAATACATTCTGAAATTCTACAATCCTTAAATAGGAATATACACGTATTCTGCTCAACTTATGTCAAATATGATTACTAAATATTAGGACATGTAGTTATTCACATCTAACAGTCAACATGTGTATAATCCATTGTGCAAATTGCTGATCTACATATTTCTACAAAATCTCTATTTGATATTCAGCTTATTGTGTACACAATCATATGGGGCCATATCTCAAAACCACATGTCCATTCCCTACAGTTGTTCTGTAAAGACAAGCTAGGGCCTCTGCATGTACAACTGAATACATGGAAGACACTCTATACATTTTTGCATCAGACATCATGTGATACAGCATCCTTCTGTTTGTAAGTTGATATGTGTGTGATCTGACTATCTACATAGCATTGTCATGGAATATGTGTGTTCATACTGGGTTCCGGAATAGTGGTTCAGTATTCTACAAGTTAGACAGCCAGCATGGTTTGGGTATTGGACTCTGGACACCAGGGTTCAAATCCCCACTCA